TATGCAACCCAAGAGCATGTTTTTACATTGCTAGTTTAATTGTTTAAAGCGTTTAAATAATTAAAGGATGGTTATGGACTTTAGACCAAATAAGCCCACTCTACAAAATGCAACTTATAACGAGGATCCAAAATAATTGCAATTGCAAGAATTAAACTGTACTCTGACCAATACTTCTCAAACTTCATGTTCATATTAGTTCCCATCTTGTTCATGAAACCATCATTATCTTCCATGGCTGCCTTGATTTGGTGTTGTATTATGAACACCTTAGGGAAGAATAAATTTGATGTGGGGTACTTTGTACCAGAAAATAAGCATGTAACATCATAAAAGTACCCCAAAAACTTGGAAATCTTCTCTACTTTAATCCACTCTTGAGGAGAAGGACAACTACTAAAATTGGAATCAATCAATCCTAAATTAATAAAAGCACGATGATAGAAAAGTGCACTCTCAAGCATGGTATAAGTTGAGTTCCATCTAGTAGGGACATCTTGTCTCAATCCTCTCTTACTACCCATTATCCCTACTTGTGCAACACATTCATAGAACTTTTGTTTCCTCCCCTCAGAACCCTTTATATATTTGATGCACTCACGAATCTTTGTCACTGATGAATCAATTTCCTTAAGTCCATCTTGGACTATCAAGTTTAAAATGTGAGCACAACAACGCACATGAAAAAACTTGCCACTCATCAACAAAAGACCTCTAAAGTTTAATTGATTCGCCAAAATCTCAACAAAAGAAGTATTTGCAGAAGCATTATCTAAAGTAATAGAAAACAACTTCTTCTCAATCCCCCACTCAGTTATTAATGTATTGATTTTTTCAGATAATGCAACACCAGAATGTGGAGGAGGCATATGACAAAAATTTATAATTCTTTTGTGCAATCTCCAATCTTGGTCAACAAAGTGAGCAGTAAGAGCAAGATACCCATCAGTACATACAGAGGTCCATAAATCTGAAGTTAAACAAATTCTTCCCTGAATTGAGCTTAACAAAGTATGAAGCTTTTGTCTTTCACTTTTAAACATCCTCAACACACATGCCTTAACAGTATTTCTACATGGCAGCTTAATATCAGGAGAGACATATGCAAACAAAGCCTTAATTCCCTCATATTCAACAAAACTAAAAGGCAAATTATGCTTGATGATCGCCTCTATTAACAAGTCACGAAATTTCACATAATCAAATTGCGGGGAACGCAATCCTGAAGATGACATAAGTAATTGCTTCACATCACCATAAGGCTTCTTAACACAATTTTTAGCATGATTCAACAAATTTCCTGTCCCATACCTACTATCACACACATATACAACCCCACAATGTTTACATTTAGCACGTTTTTTGTTATCTTCATCAACGGGCAGTAAATCAAATGATTCCCAAGCAGGAGATCTTAGTCTACGCTTACCCACATTGGCTCTAACTTTTTTCTTTGTAGGGCTTAACTCTTTCTCTTCTGTATTTTCAGTATTTGCTGCATCAATACCCATTGAAATGTCAACTGACTCCTCATCATTAATATCAATAGCATTGGTAGGGCTATTTTCTGTAACATTCATCTCCTTCAAAAATAAAAACAAAGAGATATAGATATTGTTAGACAGCAGTTAGTATGAAAATTCTAAACTCACAGAAATTGTTGTGAAATGTACATAAAAATTCTTCTCTAATATTTCTCTTAATATCAATTCTATACATAAAAATAAATAATATTAATACAACCCAAAACCATACAAAGATCAAATTGTTTGAAACTGTACACTAAATTAAAATACAAGGTTGGATATAGGTGGAAAGTCGTAGTCATAAAACACATATATAATATTTATAAATTAAAAAAATTAAAAAAAAATTGAAGTTGGGCCATTCCAAGTTTCCAACGTTGAATGGAAAAGCTGAACATTTGTTAAATTGTTAATGTTTTCTTTGTCTTTCTTTCTCTCTCTCTCCCCTAATTTCCTCTTTCTTCTCCCGCGTACTGTGTGTCTCAAGCAAATCCCAAGTTCCAGACTCCCAGTACATCAATATATAATTTCCAAAGTCCACATAAATATATAATTTCCAAACTGAAAATTAAATAAATTTACCTTAAGAGAGGATTTGGCAGCAGAGAAGATCTTCAAAGACAGAGAGAGGAGAGATCGCAAGAAGAAGGAGAAGATGAGGACTTGAGAGAGAGAAAGAAAACTGCAGAGAAAGAAAAGAAAGCTGCGGCAAAATGAAGAGATGCTAGGGTTAAGTTAAGGTATTTTTTTTTTAGAATAGAAAATTACAAAATTACCCCCGCTTAACGGGTTGGTTCGTGTATTCGCGAATGGACACCGAAACGACCCGTTAGCTTAACGGGTGGCTAACGGGTCAACACGATAACAACACGACACGATAACTCCAACCCGAATACTGAATTTTTCGTGCGAATTCGTGTCGTGTTATCGTGTCGTGTGGGATTTTGCCAGGTCTATCCATTAGCTAATTATTTATAGGACATCCTAGTCACTTGCAACAGACAACCAGTAACATCCAATCTCCCTTTAAACAGAAGAAAAAGAAAAAAGAAAAAAATATCATAAGTATCCGGTTATGACCTCCTCCGCAATACTAACATCGCAAAACATGCCAACGGTGGAGAAGAAATAATGGCACCATAGTGTCGTGGTTGGGGTGAGGAATGGAACATCTATGCCTAACAACCAACATAGCGCACATAAAGCAGACAGCAAATTCGCAACCGTGAAACAAAATGCCTTCCAGATGAACCAGTCTGGTACAGGATAAGGAGGATCACGTCGGTGGGTCAGGAGACGCCAGTTCCAACGCAGTCTGTACTTCACAACTGAATGAGAAATCAAAGTTAGGAAATAACAAAGCATAAATAATGATACAAATGGGTTCGAGAATGAAGGATTGTCTGGATATGACATGTATGCAAGCATCAGCAGCCCGAAAAGGGATGCGCAGCAAGTTTTCCAGAATAACTCATCAGTACTAGGCGGTGGTGGCTCCAGTTCCAGTGCCGTGGAATGTAGAGGACGGTATGCTTCTCTGTAACTCATCTTTGAACAAGCTATGAATACTAAAGCCTCTTTAAAAAGTACCGATCCGCAGTATATATGCTAAACCAGAAGTATGCGATGGAGAAGAAGAAGAATATGAAGATTATGGAAAGACTGACAAATCAAATACTTAATTAGCAGTTTTCGGTCATTGATTTTATCGTACGTAGGTAACAAGAAATAGACGATCGATTAGCACAAAGCTGACCACGGTCTCTACTAGACTATTTTAATTTTTTTATGATACAAAACAAATTACTCTTGCTGGCTTTGCTTTGAGGTGTAACGATATTACTATTTGGGAGGAGGAGGCTCATCTTCATGATGATTTGGTGGTAACCCTTTCCTGATAATTAATTGCTTCGGCTTCAAAAAAAAAAAAAATGTTGGGCCTAGAACAAGAAAAATTACAAACCTATAAATTACATATGCTTCCTAGTACAGTTAGTTTTCCTTAGTCTCAAGGAACCCAACGCATCAGCTACCTTGCTGTGACCTAAAACCATAGAGAACAAATGGAACATATACCTATAGAAAATCAATATTTCCGATTACCAACTCATGAGAATAACCAAACTTCTAGGATTTCTAGAATTATTTTTTACGGAAGATATGATCCTTGTCTCATGAATTGCTTTGTTCTTATGTGTATAGACTACAGAGAGAAGTTAACTCAGCTGCTTTTTGTTCATTTATCTTTTACCCATACTAGCCCCTTAAAAAGTTTATTATTATTATTATTATTATTATTATTATTATCTATATATATAAAGCAAAAGGCAGAGAATGGTGAAACATTCAAAATACCAGAAAATGCCCTTGATTAATGCAAACATTAAGAATTGAGATTATTAATTAAATGAGGATAATATGGTAAATTCACACTTATCCATATAAAAAAATTAAAATCAATAGAAAAATCAGATAATGAATCCTATTTTTATGGAACACAACTACCCATTATCTTTTTTAATTCTAAAATAAATTTAAATTTTTTTTAAAAAAGCCTCTCGCAGGCGCGGAAGCGCGTGTGGAGAGGCTAGTTATT